TCAATTGGCAGCTTTTTGTGCTCGATTTAGATATTACGTAATTTGGTTGATCGCTGAAGGTGCATGTATCCTTTCAGGAATTGGGTTTAATGGTTATGATGAAAATGGTAATGCTAAATGGTAAGCTCTTTTTGATCACACGTCTTTTTTATACAATCCTAATATTTAATATTATCATTTATCACGTGACTCGTCGCGTTATATAAAGGAATCGCGTTACAAATATTGATTTTATCGGATATGAGACAGCAGATAATATCAAACAATTGTTAGAATCTTGGAATATGAATACAAATAAATGGCTGAAAAATTATGTGTACCTTCGAGTTACACCCCCTGGACAAAAACCTAGTTTCTCTTCAACAATTACCACATTTGGGATAAGTGCCGTATGGCACGGTTTTTATCCTGGATATTATTGTAAGATTACACCTTTCATATAAAATTTTAAACATTAATCATTACATAATTTAACAGATTAATTTTCAATAGTGACTTTTATTGGTGGTGCATTTATTCAAAACCTTCATCGAAGTAAGTAGTTATATTTTAATTTTCACGTGTCACATGGAGGAGTATTAATTTATTTTTTTTCTTTAAAGAAATACACCGTACTGTTCGTCCAATTTTCTTAACCACTCGTTTTGCTGCATATAAACCTTTATACAATTTCTTGGGTTGGTTCACTACACAATTTGTGATCAATTATCTTGTCATATCATTTAGTCTACTTTCTTTGGGCAGTTCATTATACGTTTGGAATTTGCTCTATTTTTGTGGACATATTATCATTATTCTGGCAAATATTTTTTTCTTGGTAGGTGCTGGAAAATTTTGTAAACGAATCGTTGCTTTTGGAGGTGGCGTTCTTGATTGAAAAAAAAACATAATGCAATGAAATTAAAATTTATTTTTCTTTGTATTTGATATTTGTTTCATTTATTTTTTGTTTATTAAAAATTTTTACTTTTCTTTTTAGAAGTTTTTGCTTTATCTATTATATAAAAATCATTGGATCACATGATGTAACGTTAGATTTTTAGCATTACAAATAATTGACATTCAACCAGTGTCTGAAATTGGGTTGCGGAATCTGCGGACCGCAACAAATTTTAAATTTTTGCAAATAAAACTTGATATGCAGGTTCGGAATCTGCAAATAAAATTTCCGCAAGTTTTCCGCATATTATCTTAAATTATACTTATCCCGCAAGTAAGATATTTAATTCACTTGCGGATACTATCACGTGACAGTAACTTTTTACGGCGACGCTGGGGAAGATATTAGAAACATCAGCTATCACGGGATCACAAGGATTTTCAGAGCTTTCAGAAACATCTGCAGTTTTTTCGTCATCATGATTTTGATACAACCATTCCACAAATCGTAAATTTAATTCGTAGCATACGTAAACAATATTTTATCAGTTATTAATGCTTTGATTGATGCTAAACCAATCCGTTATCAAAGATAAATCTGAATCATAAGAGCGCAATAAATATTAAACGAAGCGAGTTTGATCTTCTTACATCATAGTCATAACATTTATTTTGTCAAAGCGTATCCAGATAGCAGTATATAAGGTCCATTAACCAATACTATTTTGAAATTCATACAACCTAGTGTAACCGTTGATGGGAGAGCTTAGTAAAATATTATGGAATGAGTGCCAATTTAACCCCAACGGTGTACGGGGAGATAAAGATAAATTGGGTAAGGGAAATGGGTCTTTTGTAAGTGTTAAGGAACTAGTAGGGCGATAGGGTACTTTAGAGTAATACTTTGATATCAACGAGCGATGATATTGGGCGAAGCAATGACGGGTGATGCCGTTAAGGGTGATAACAAAG